CCTGCATGACTACAAGCACTAAGCAATCCGATGAATGTAATTTCATTTGGTTTGATCTGCAAATTTTCCATTTTAGTAAAGAGCTCTAAAGCTTTCTCACCGAAACCATGCATACCGAACCCCAATACCATACAGTTCCACATGCATATATCTCTACTTGCAGCTTCTTCGAACAGCCTGTAGGCTGTAGTTATATCACCACATTTGGCATACATATCAATAAGAGCAGTATCGAGTACTATGTCTCTATTTATCCTCTGCTTATCTATGTACGCATGAATCCACTTTCCCAAGTCAAGTGCACCTGATTCTGCACAGAATGATACTAAACTAACCATAGTAACCTGGTTAGGCTTTATACTGCTTTCTCTCATTAGAACAAGGACATCAATCGCCTTTTCAATGCAATTTCCTCGAGTATAAGCTGATATAAGAGCTGTCCAAGTCATAATATCCCTTCTCCCCATTTTATCAAAAATTGCTCGTGCACTACTAATTTCACAGCATTTACCATACATATCTATCAGAGAAGTAGCCAGAGGTAAAGTCATAGCAAACCCGCTTCTGATAACATGACCATGTAGCTGCTTTCCTAAGTCCAAAGCCTCAACTGATCCACATTCCGCGATCAAACTCAGCAGAGTGACTTCATTTGGTAAAATCCCATCTTCTATCATCTGGCCAAAAAGTCGTACACCCTCCTCTATAGCATTGCAACGAATGTAGCCTGCAACCATTGCTGTATAAGTATAGACATTCTTTTCGGTTAGGCTATCAAACAAAGAACGCGCAACATCTACACTCCCACTCTTAGCATGCATCTCTATCAGAGAAGTAGTCAAATTAGCCCCTAACTGATTCATGTCGCTATTCTTGATCACATAAGCAAACATGGGCTTTGTCAAGTCCTTGTTCCCAACATCTGCCAGCAGCTTCAGAATACTAATCATCGTACTTTCACTCGGTTTCACTAACTTATACTGCATTTCTCTGATCATTCTCAGAGCTTCATTAAACACCCTGTGCTTAACATATCCCCTAATCATTGTATTCCAAGAAACAACATCTCTTTTCACCAGTTTTTCGAACACGAGCCTTGCAGAACTCAGAAACCCACATTCACAGTACATTTGAATCAGAGTGTTCCCCACAAAAATATCAAAATCTAACCCATTTTTCAGAGCAAAACCATGAATCTCTCTACCAGAAAAAACACAACCCATCTGTGCACAAGATTTCAAAAGAGAAGAAACTAAAAAACTGTCAATTTCAATGTTCATTTCTCTCATTTGGGCATATATATTTAGTGCATATTTTGGTTGATTATTCTTATTATAAGATGTTATGAGGAAGTTATATCGAGCAACCGAGGTTGAAAGTAATTGGATTGTAGGATGCATTTCATGAGAATTTTTGAAGTGGGTTTTTAGAAAGTGAGCATGGATTTGCTTTGTTTCATCAATGGTGAATTGATTATGATTTGGTTGTTGAAGTTTGAATTTGAATGTAGGAAGATTTTGGTGATGGTGAATTTGGATTGTCAAAGGAGGGAAGCAAGTTGTTGTTGCCATAATTTGGTGGATTAGATTTGGAAAGGTAACGGTTGTTATTTGAGTGTTATAGCCACACCTTTACATTGTCACATCCACATATTACATGATCTTTTGAATTGTAAAAGAGAATATAATATCTTGTGTACTTGCAAATATCTAGGTGACAAAATTGGACTCAATCTATTAATATACTCCCCATGTGAATGTCAATTTGGTATTAAGATTAGTACATTAGGACAAAAGTTTTTATTTTCCTCAAAAATGACATAAGTTACAATTAGAATATTGTGATTTTATATTTTCTTATTCGATGGAGCAGTATTATAAATACACAAAGTATTGGGTGTGGCTTTTCGTGCATCAATACCTTCTCTTTTTTTAACAAAATCCTTTCCCTATCATTTTTTCATCATATCTTTTTTTGTCTCTACCAAACATCAACCATCAATGGTAACTACAACTACAACAGATTTTTCTATCTCCTCCTCACCTAAAAAATCCTAAATATATTTGCAATATATTATCGTCATCTTCTTATGATGAAGAACAAGTTTCCAATCGATGACAAGATGGTGGTTACAGTGAAGGAGAGAAGCGAGGTCAGTCATGGCTCGGGAAAGAGAGAGAAACTTTAAAAGAATTGAAGAGGATGGATAGGAGAGAAAAAATAAAGATTGGGGATTATATTTGTCCGTGATTTATGCTTGAATTGTTTTGATAATTGTTTAAGATACTCAGATTTTTCGAAAAAATGCCCAAAAAATCAAATTGGAGCTTTCTTGTGTGATGTATAATTGTTGAAATTAATTGTCCCATATGATTATATGTTGAATAGTGAGCATTTTGATAACAGATGCATATATTTTGGTTGAGAAATGAGCAAGTTATGTTATACCTATGACCTTTAGTACGAGCTCTCAATGGAGGTTCCGTCATTGTTATACATATCATCAAATAAATTATACATATCCTCAAACAAGTTATACATATCCTCTAATAATTTATACACATGCTTTATTGGTTGGATGATATCCTATACTGGTTGAATGATATCTAGGGGTGTTCAAATCCGGGTACCCGGGTTTTCGAGTACCCGAAGTTTCGGGTAGTTGTGAATTCGTCCCATGTCCCGACCCGAATATTCGGGTCGGGATATAGGGTACCCGGATTTCTTTTTTTTTTTTTTTTACAAAAAAAAACATTATACTTACTTGTATTAATTTTAGGTATTTATACTTGCTGTAATTTAATTTTTTTTTTGTTAGGTAAACACAAATTATAACCATTGATTTCCCAATCACAAGCATATCATCATCAAAAATAACAAAAACAAAATATAGAATCCAAAATTATGCTTACAATTTGTGGGAAAAATGTAGAACAAAGATCCATGGAATTACTAAGATTGAATCGCGAAAAATTAACAAATAAAAGGGGTTGACAAAATTTAATGAAATTAGAAAATAAGGAGGAGAAAAAGAATTAGATCTGTGGGAGAAACTTCGACGACGACGCATACGCTCCCTGATGAAGACATTCTCTCTCCTCTCATCTTCTCTTTCTGTATTTGTGAATTAAGGAACTCGACCTTGAGATTATATTGTTGAAGTGCGAATGCAGAGTAAGTGAGTAACACAATATTGTTAATGTTTCCATCAGTCTCCCTTTACATTTGCAGATTCTAATTTTTTCACATCAGTTGGGTGCCATGGATATGCCTTTTTCTATAGTTTTTAATGTTTAATAATTATAATTCAAGGAAGAAGGAAGGCAGGCTAGGAATGAGAGAGATGCAAGAAGAGATAGAAAGGAGGCAGGGAATGAGGATGCAAGAAGAGAGAGAGATAGAGGAGGCAGGGAATGAGAGAGGCGCTTGAAAGAACCCTAACTAGGGTGGGCTGGGCTTAGTTTGAGGGAAGGTTTTTTTTTTTAAAAAAAAAAAAATATCGGTTAATCGGGTACCCGAGTATTAAAAACTGCGACCCATGTCCCGACCCGGATAACATGCTATTTTCCCGGGTTGGGTACCCGTCCCGAAAAAAACAACTTTTTTCCCCAAATTTTCCATCGGGTATTTACCGGGTCATCGGGAAATCGGGTCGGGACAATCGGGTCGGGTTTTTTTGAACACCCCTAATGATATCCTCTATTGGCTATATGATATCATTTATGATCGTATCCATGATATCCTTTATTGGCTTAATGATATCCTTTATTGCCTAAATGATATCCTCTATTGGCTACCTGATATCATGGCTGGAAGATATCATGATGACATCCTCTATTGACTATATGATATCATTTATGATCGTATCCATGATATCCTTTATTGGCTAAATGATATCCTCTATTGACTACATGATATCATGGCTGGAATATATCATGATGATATCCTCTATTGGTTATATGATATCATATAACTAATAGAGGATATCATCCAGCCAATATAGGATATCATCATCCAGCCAATAACGGATATCCAAAACCTGTTGTACTGACGAAATATTTGGTCAGTCCGGACTGACGAGATACCTTCTTTTTAAAATAATCTTTATGTTAATTAGATTTCAATTAGAGCGATTTTTATTGATTAATATATGTAAGTTTACAATAATATGAGTGTGTTTGAAAACCTTAAAAGATAAGGATAAAATATTAACAAAATATATCCAAACATATCCTAACCTATGACAAAGAAGGAATATCTTTTATATTCTCTATCACACTCTGGTAGTGATAGCAAGATTAGCAAGAGGAGGTGGAACATTAAAACTAGATCTAAAGTCTAAAAATAGTTGGCGAGGTAAGTTTTTTGTTAATATGCAAACATTTATTGTGCAGGAATATGCTAAACCTGTACATGACAATACACCACCTTTTCACAAGCAAAATGAATGTCCATTGGAGTTGAATAAGATTGTGGAGACTGGAGAGATAATTTGCACTGACATAAAATAAGTATATTTAAACTTAGATAAATACATTAAGTCAAAATGAGCAGAGGATTTGAACATGTGACCTATTGTACATGACCCTTAGTCTTAACCACTAGCCCATGAATTCATTGGTCTTCTAGTCTTGGTTATGTCTTAATGAAAACTCTCTTTATCCATATTTGTTTACCCCATTTGCCTCTTTATAGTCTAATCCAACCAGACTCCCTATGACTACTCGTGCATAATTTCTTACATATATTAGTTACAATTTGTGGTCAATGTTCTAAAATTTTGACTATCATATATGTAAAAGGGGCAAAAAAAAAAATTAAAAGCGGGACAAATTAGTAATTTTGAGTAAATTAAATCCAACTCAAGCTAATATAGAAGAAATTGATGGTCAAATAAATACATTAATTTTTTCCAATCGTATGAATATTCATAATTCTGTTATAAAAATAAATTAAAATGATTCTATTCTCATAAATGGTATATACTAGCCATCAAAGTCATGGGCTTCATTCCTAAAAGCCCTCAAAAAATATCCCAAAACTTACAAATACACACATCACTCCATCATTCATTGCCCTCCCTTTTTTCTCCTCAAAACAAGATAAGGTGATAAATCAATCACTCAATCTCCCTCCAATTCTCACACTTACACTTTCACCATGCTATCTCTCTCCTCCTCCCACCCCCTTTCTTCTTCCACCACCCTCTTCTCCACCACCACCAAACACCTTCTCCCACCACCTTCCTCCACCTCGCTTCGCCTCGCAAACAAACAACAACCAATCATTTCATCCTACTCTCCCCCACCTCTTGTCCCCAACCTCATTATCCCCAAATCCTCCTCTTCCCCTCAACCCCAAAACTTATACCAACCCTTTCGCCCCCCTCCCAACCCCCTCCCCCAAAAATACAAGAACCTCGATACCGCCTCGATCATCGAGGTTCTTGCTAACCGTCTTGGGTCATGGTACGAGTACGCTCCCCTTATCTCCACCCTGTTTCGAGACGGGTTTACTCCACCTTCAATTGAAGAGCTTACTGGAATCTCCGGTGTTGAGCAGAATCTCCTCGTTGTTGCTGCACAGGTGAGGGAATCCATTGCTGATTCCCCCATTATTGAGCCTGAAACTCTGGCTTTCTTTGAAAATGGTGGTGCTGAGCTTTTGTATGAAATTCGGATGTTGAATACGTCGCAAAGAGCTGCTACTGCGAACTATGTTGTCAAGAGAAGATTAGACGGGGAAAGAGCGCGGGAAATTGCGAGGAGTATTAAGGATTTTCCGGCGAGAAAAGATGAGCCGGGTTTTGGGTGTTTTGATTATAATTGTCCTGGAGATTGTTGGGCGTTTTGGCATTATCGGCTTTCGAGGGAGTTCATGAATCCGTCGGAGAGGAGGAGCTCGGCGTTGGCGACGGCGTTGGATGTTGCTGATACGGATAAGGCGAGGGAGACTGTGAGGGAGGAGATTGAGGGGAAGAAGGTAGGGAAAGTGGAGGAGATTGTCAAGGCGGCGATTAAGGTGCCGGTGGTGAGGTTGAAGATGGGTGAGGTTGCAGAGGCCACGACTGTGGTGGTATTGCCGGTTTCGCAGGCGGTTGAGGGGGAGAGTGGGGTTGGGAGGGTGCCTATGGAGTGTAAGAGTGAAGGGGAGTTTGGTGTTTTGGTTGCAAATGAGGGGTGGGATAGGTGGGTGGTGCTACCGAGGTGGATTCCGTTGGCGGGGATTGGGACCGGTGGGGTGGCGGTGGCGTTTAGTAATGCTAAAGTGTTGCCATGGAGGGTGAATAGGTGGTATGTGGATGAGCCGGTTTTGGTGGTGATTGATAGGAAGAGGAGGGAGGTAGAGGTTGATGATGGGTTTTATTTGGTTGCTAGGAAGGGTGGTGATGATGGAGGGTTGAAGGTGGAGAAAGGTTCGATATTGAAGGAAATGGGGGTGGCCGAGAGCTTAGGGACGGTTGTGATTGTGGTTAGGCCTCCTAAAGACGAGGTTGATGATCAATTGAGTGATGAAGATTGGGATTGATTGTTTAGTTTAGAAGGGGGTTCTTGAGGTGAGTCTTTTTGGGTTAGATTCATGTAGATGGAAAAGAGACCAAAGATCATTGTAGTTGTATGATGACTATTGCTCTAGTATAGAGCTTGTAATTTTGTTTTCTTTGTTTTGAAATGGATACATATTATTCAATCTTTTACACCGAAATGTAATTTGAAGTGTTCTTTTGCAAATCGATTATCTATTTGAGTAACTAGCAGGGAAAGAATAAAGACAAAACTGTTCATGTCTTTTCATTATTGCCAATGCATCAACTACTTGTAATCAAGCAAAAAATTGTAGCAATCTTGAATCCAAGCAACTCTGTTTGAATGTCAGATTCAGAAACTGTGAAATTGAGCTGATCTAATGGCATAACACTATGCGCGAATAGCACATAGAAAAACAGACCAGAGATTTCCTTTTCCCATTGCATCACATACTCAGGAAACAAGAAATTAATGTATTAACTTGAAACAAATGGAACAGGGCAATTGCCAATATCTAACCCAACGCCTGAAATAAAGCCATTAAAAGCTAACACTCTAATGAAAGTACATGTAATTTATCTAGCAACAAATTTCTTGTTTCTTGGATGACCTATTATAAGATACATGAAGACTAATCAAGATTCAAACATCACTACTCAGAATACTGCGAAGGGCACTTACTTTCTAAAGCACTTCTGATGATTTCTAATCAATTATCAGGTAGCTGCCCACAGTCTTCTATGACCACTGGACATTTAGTTCTTCCATCGTCACTGCCCTGTTTCTCCATATCCGTAACCACATTATAACCTTCGACAACTTTACCAAATACCACGTGCTTTCCATCTAGCCATGATGTCTTTGCAGTGCAAATAAAGAACTGTGAGCCATTACTGTTTGGTCCAGCATTTGCCATAGAGAGAATACCGGGTCCTGTGTGCTTCAACTTGAAGTTCTCATCTGCAAACTTCAAACCATAAATTGATTCTCCTCCAGTTCCATTTCCCCGGGTGAAATCCCCACCCTGGCACATGAAATCTGGGATGATTCGGTGAAATGCTGAGCCCTTATAATGGAGTGGCTTCCCAGCTTTTCCAATTCCTTTCTCCCCAGTGCATAGAGCACGGAAGTTGTCAGCCGTTTTGGGGGTAACATCAGCAAAGAGCTCCATAACAACTCGACCAGCCTTCTTAGTCCCAATCAGAATGTCAAAAAAAACCTTGGGATTCGGCTTTGCCATCTTGCTCTTCAAAGTGTTGCTACTGAAACCAAATCAAGAACCTGAGAATTAAACAAAGCCAATTACATAAAAAGAAAGCACAGTTAAGATTACATACCAATGAAATCTGACCAAAATATTCAGATACAAACAAACCAAAGTAGCCACACTCATTATAACTAATGACAGAAATAAACACCCTTCAACTAATTGTGCTTTACATAAAATAAATCAATATAAAACCACCAAAACCAAATGACAAACGCCATAATCAAGCAACGCAGAGATAAGGAACCTTCAACTACATGTGATTAACATATATAAATCAATACGAAATCACTAAAAACCAAAAGAAAAACGTGATAAGCAACCAATGCAGAGATGAGCAAACTTAAAATAACTGTGATTTGCAGAAAATAAATCAATACGTAACCACCAAAACCAAAAGACAAAAGCGATGATCAAGCAAAGTGGCATCACTAATTTCCAAATGAACTTCATTGCTCAAACAAACAAAAGCAACAACTATAAAATTCTCCTAAACTATAGCATCTCCACACCCAACTGAGTTTGTGTTCTTCAAATGCAAATGTCGGAAATCGTTTCGACTGCTTACACAATATTGGGTTGAATATACAGGACAAATCCTTCCAAGCCCAATACATTTAAACCAAATTATATTTTATTTCAATTAAAACAAATAACACCTAATAAAATTTGTAAAACAATATGTACATTTACTCATTTATACACTAATTTTATGTTAAAAATCTTTGAATTTGAAATCAATGTTCGTCACCCAGAAAAAATCCCCAAAAAAATTTAGAGATAGTACAAGCTGATTGACGACATTTATGATATTGCACATCTTTTGAGCTCAACAGGTTACTAAAATTAAAAAACCAGCAAGCCTTCGATATGTGCTTCTTTCTCAAACAAAATCAAACAACTAATGTACTAATTAAAATTTAAATCTTTAAAAAAAAAAACCCCCTTAATTTAATGGATTTATGAATTCTTGTGAAACAGAAATTATAGGGTAAAATAGGAGTAATGAAACAAAAATGCAACAGAATTAAATAGATATAGAGAAGTAGATAAAGAAGAATGTAAAAGAGGAGAGAGAAAATGGTGAGAAATTGTACCTGTTGTTTTAAAGGCCTGAGTGCTTCGCGAGGTGTAACGGTGATGCAGAGAGGTTTAGGTTTTTAGAAAGATGAAATATGCTGTCCATAGACAGTAGGATGTAGAAGTGTTAAAAAAAACCCGACTTGTTTGACCTGACCCAATACCAAATTTTATTCATTTATTTGGGCTGGGTACTTAACCAGATAAAATAACTCGAGTTCTGGGTCGGCCGGACAATGAGTATATATATATCGGGTACCCATTAATTAAATAGGCCCTTTTTTTTTTTTATTTTATGAAATGTATAATAATCTTGCACTTTATAATAAGGGCTTGCTTGACATCGTTTTTGGTTTTAAGTTTTCAGTTTTTTTGAAAACTAAAAACTAGAAATAAGAAAAAGGTGTTTCCACTTTTTTGTTGTCAGTTTTCAAATTTATCATGAATTTAATAAGTTTGACTAATTTTTTATTCATTACATGACATATATCATATGATTTTAAAAAACAAAAAATCACAGTTTCGTTTTGATTTTCACGGAGGTTTAGAATAAAGAAATAATATTTTAAATTATTATTTTAAGTGGAAATCGAACCACACACCTACTAAACTATAAAATCCGCACATATACGAGTGAGCCACAACACTCATACTAAGTTTATTCTACAACAAATTCTAAATTCTGTATAGTCTGAGGCCCAAAGCTAGTCTGAGGCCCAAAGCAATCTTGGACCCTGAGCAATTGCGCAGGCCGCATCGGCTAAGGGACCGACCTGCTAAGGCCTAAAAATAAGTCTAATTCTCGGGGCGGGCCAAGTTTTAGGCCGGAAATTAGGTTCCCAAACCCACCCTGAAATGGCTGGATTTTCTGGCCATTTTTGGGTCGGCTTAAAATGCATTCCCAAAAGCCTGCTAGAAAATTTAAAATTTGGGGTCGAAAAAATCTGCCCAAAACCCACCTAAATTCGGGCTAGGCTGACTTGATCAACTCTATTTCTTGAAAACCGCAAATCATAAGATGGACCTGGGTCCATCTAGATCTAGGTGATGCGGGTCCAAAAACAATAATGTTGTTTTGATATTAACATATACTACCTCCGTTTTTATTTAATTGACACCATTTTATCATTACGATTGTCAACACACTTTTTTAACATTAATATCTCAAATTCTCAACATTGTACAATTATATTAAAAAAAAGTAAATATTAATAAAATATACATTGAGACGATTCAAACAAGATCCTACTTGAGTATATTATATTGTAGCTATAAGCCATAAAAGTTAGTCAAAGTGTAATTTATGAATAGTTTAAAAGCCAAACGGTGTCAACTAATAAAACACGGAGGTAGTAGATATCTTGCCTTATCCTATATTTTGTTGCTTTCTCTTCTTCTGTTTTGCGCTCTGATGATTTCCAATTTTCGATCTACATATACCATTATTTAGTACCAATATCTTCCATAAGACTTACAATAGGTCATGCTTGGATTGGGTGTAATGTATGATGGGATAATATAAGACAAACTTGAAAAAAACTTAACTAATCAGAGATATTATTGTAGAAGACAAGGTATTTAAAATAAAATAAGGTACTTGTACCATGAAGAGAAGAGAGAGATGAGACCCTCATGATGAGCAAGGGCGAAAGGACGGGGGCTAGAGGAGGCCCGGCCTCCCCGGCCCAGATTTGCGGCCCTTGATTATTAACTCTTGCCCCCCATTAAAGTTAGGTTTTTTTAGATTTTAACACCTGATAAAAACGGAAAAATTGATATTAACACCTCCAAAAAAAAAAATTTATTTTAACACCTCTTAAAAAAATTAAATTGGAAGTTACCACCAAAATCATAGTTCAGTTGACGGAACTGTTACTGGGTCCCATTCTAACGGATAGTTTGGTTTTTTGAATTCCCTCTATATATGCACGATTCTCCCCAATTCTCCTCTATTTTAACCTAATTTTTGTTTGAAACAGTTCGATTTGCTTCAAATTAACCAAAATTACTGGATTAATTGGTTTTATTTTAGTTCGTGGAAGACATTGAAGCTACTGAAACAGGTATTTGGGTTTATACGAATGCAACGAATTATGTTGAATCAAATTGGGTAAATTTAGGTTAGTTGTCTGTTAATTATGTAATAAATTCATTAGGTTTATTAATTAGGATTGTTTTGTACTGGAATTGATACTTAGATTGTGTTATGTATGCATGAAATTGCCCAATTACAAAACTAGGGTTTATCAGAAATTGAAATTTGGGGCTTTTTGTATTAGTTCATTAAAATTGAAAATTGTTGTTAACAATGTTAATTCGTTGATGATTAAATGTGTATATGTAATTGTTGTTCTCAAAGTGATGCAGATTATGGCGTTTGTTAGCTCTTCCCCTTCTAATGAAAAGAAATGCAACTGTGGTGTGCCAATGGGCAAGCTAACTAGCTGGACAAGGGAGAATCCAGGGAGGAAGTTTAGAGCTTGTAAGTTTTATGATCCAATCACAGAAACAAGGGGCTGCAAATCTTTCGAGTGGGTTGATCAACCTGTTGGGACAGATTGGAAAACAGGGGTTATTAACAACCTCTTATTGGATAAGAAGCTGCTAAAGGGTGAAGTCAATGAATTGAAAAGGGAAGTTGATGAAATCAGTGGTCAAAGGAGGTGCCTACTAAATGAAGTTGATAATTTGAAGATTATATGCAAGGCCTTAAAAGGTGACAGGAACAGAATGAACAGGGAGTGCAGTGCAGGGAAGACAACTTCAATGAACTATTTTGGTTGGTTGGGCATTACAATTTGTATTAGTTTGTCAATGTTTGTTGTTTTAATAATGGGTAGGGGTGGTTAACTTGTATTAGTATCAATTAAGTTATGGAACCTAAATTTAAATATTTTGTATTGGCTTGAGTTGTTATGAGAATGGTTTCAATGATATTTGCATTGACTGAGTTGTTGTTTTTTTAAAATGCTTTAACATTGCTAAAGGAATTGAAGATTATAAAAGCTGTGAAACTAGCTCCCTTTTTTCATTGGCAAAATAAGTAAGCACTTCAAAAGTAGTTTGACAAAAGAAGCTTACTTTATACTGCCTTAAAGCAATGCAAATCAGAAATACAAGTTTTAAAATGTCATATGGTAATCAAACCCATAGGAAATCTACCAAATCATACATAAAACTAACAAATTGTTCACTGATAAACACTGTTCACTAATTAGACACATGAATTCACTGGGTGAGGTTCATCTTGAAGGTCTGCATCTTGCCCCTTGTCACAACACCTGTTTGCTGAGCTGGTTGTGCTGCAGGCTGACTTGAGGGGGTTCTTGCCTTGGTTGGAGGCTCTTTCTTTGGGTTTGGCTGACTTGGGCTAGGTTGACTGGAGATAGCCCTCTTCTTTGTTTTTGATTGACTGGAGGTTGGTTGGGTTGAGGTAGGTTGTCTTCCAACTCCTGCCTCTGTTGCAGCCTATCACACATGTTGTGTCAAAATGGAATAGTTAATGACATGTATTATAGGATTGAAAATGTACCAAAAAAAAGAGTAAGAAAGTTGAGGTTGATTTGGGTTACCTTTTTTGCAGCCCTGAGCTCTTTCTTTTTTCTCTCCTCTACCATCCAAGGTGTATTCAAGGGGGGTCTGCCTACTGCCTTTACCAGCTCTGTTGCTGGTGCTGGAGGTAGTTTGCAGGTCTTGGCATAATGCCCAAAACCCCAACAGTGTTTGCATTGCTTCTTCCTCTTTATTGAGCTACTTGCAGTTGAACATTCCCCTGGCTCAAGCTTCCTTTTCTTGCTTTTTGGTCTGCCTGGCTGCACTTTAAATGCAGGGGGTAATGGTTCTCTCATTTTGACTTTCTCCCAGTGTTTGGGACCTGGCATTGGGAGGACAATTGGTTCATAAGCAGCTCTGTATGTTTCCATTGTGTAGTATGGGTCAACATAAGCCTCTATGTCACCCCTCATATCTAGCATGCATGCATAAGCATGAACACAAGGTATCCCAGTTAGTTCCCAATGGTAACATGTGCATGTTTCTTTCTCCAAGTCAACCAACACTTGGTCATCCTTAAGCTGCACTTCATATGTGTTGTCCCTTGATGGCTGTACCACACACCCCCTAGCCACAAAATCTATCCTATGCAGAACATGCCTGACATATGGCACTAAGTTACTATGTATATCTTTGGCATCCTCCCACTTTTCATTATTCCTGTTCATTATATACCTCCTCATCCATTCCATTTGGGTGAGGATTGGTTTATCTCTTGCAGGCCTGATTACTGCATTGAAAGTCTCACACATGTTGTTCAACAACATGTTGGACTTGGCAGTAGGTGGAAAAGCATGTCTACACCAATGCTTGGGAGGAATAGTCACTAAGTACTCATATGCAGCTTCATCAAGAAATTTTATAGACTCCATGGCTATCTCATACTCAAACTGACAAATACATACATATACAATCAGAAAAACACTCAAACTGACAAATGCATACATATACAATCAAACAAATACTCAAACGGCCAACTACATACATATTAAACCACACATAACAACTACTCAAGTCAGTAAACATATATGTAATACATGCATTATCAAACACAGCACTAAACATGTAAAACTAAACATGTATTGTCATTACACAATCTAACAAGTACTGCGAATGGAAAACTTAGCACATCAAAGGGAACAAATTCACTTACAATAGTGTTAGCCCTAGCAGCACTCCAAAAAAGCTCCTTAAATGTTGCTCCAGTGAATTTGAGCTTAAAGTTGGCCCAAATATGCCTAACACAAAACCTATGGTCTGCTTTGGGAATAACATCAGCCATTGCTTCAATCAATCCCTAAAAAAGGCAAACATCAATGCACCAAATTAGAAGAAACTCAATCACTTACACATGAATAAAAGTTTTGGAAGAAAAAAGTAAGGTAGTATTACCTTTTGCCTATCAGACATGATGGTTAGCCCAGCTCCTTGGTCATGTGTGAACATAGCCATTAGAGATTCTAAGAACCAACCCCAAGTTTCCTTGTTTTCCACCTCCACTGTGGCCCAGGCTAGGGGGAACAAATTGTTGTTCCCATCTTTAGCCACTGCCACCAAAATCTGCCCAGGGTAGGCACCTTTGAGGTGACAACCATCCACCCCAATAAGTGGCCTACAACCTCTTGCAAAACCATCTCTCAGAGGTCTTAAATAGATGAACATTCTGAGAAACAAGGGTGGTTCTGGCCTATCAATACCATCAACAACAATATTACACCCAGAACCAGGGTTGTACTTCATCACAGCTTTCCCATAATCCCACACCTTTGCATACTGCTCCCTAGCAGAACCAAATATAATTAACTTTGCCCTACACCTTGCTACCCATGCCTTAAAATAAGTCACTTCAATACCCAAATAATTCATAATCTTAGCCCTAATCTCCTTAATTCTCAAGCTAGGGTTACTCCTAAACTCCTCCAAATACCTCTGTGCTATATACTCAGCAATAAGAATCCTGTTCTTCCTCACTCTTAAACAAGTGTGTTTCAATCTGAGGGTTTTGATTTGCCAAGTTTGCTGCTTAACAAGTTTTGAAGCAAAGACCTTGAATTGACACTTCACTCCCCCCACACATGTACAAGCAGGCATTCTACAAGTGTAAGTGTTGAACTCACAATCACACCTATACCTACATTGTGTTGTAATCCTAGTACTGTCATTATGCAAAAAGTAGAACTCATACCTGTTTTGAACTGCATGAAGTCTAAGTGCCCTCCTTAGCACTTGTGCATTGCTGAACTTCAGATTTACTTTCAACTGAATAGGGTTCTCAAAGTCAACAGCAGCATTGAACCATGGAGCAGTGTCCTCTTCTTCATCAGAACCACACAAACTCCTTGATTCATCTGAATCTCCTTCATTCTCTGGATTCAGATGCAGATCTCCAACATCCAGGTCTTCTCTAAGCTCTGACCTCTTATTTTTCAGGGGAACACCTTCCTCTATTTCACTTCCCAGCCCTTTCTTCAAGCTTTTGTTCACCTTGTCCAAAATATCCTGTGACCCTTCAATATACCATTCCTCATCCCCTTCATCATATTCTTCCTCACCAGGTTCCCAACCCAAGTCCTCATCACTTAAATCTTCACTTGAGTACTCAGAGTCAACATCCTCAAGCTCATTAAACTTCAGAGCTTTTGCCTTTGATGACCCTTTCCCTTTCAACCTACCCTTCTCAGTTACCACTTCAGCTACTTTCTCTTTTCCTTTCTCTGCCTTACTAAACCCAGGGCTCCTTGTCACACTGACAGTAGTATCAGTGGTGCCCTTCTTGCCCTTTTTATTTGCCTTTGGTGGATTGGGTTGGGCCTCACTTGTGGGCTTAGTAGTAGTTGGTACTGTTACAAATACTTCTACATACCCTTCACCATTTGCTGTCTCCAAAAGACCCTTAATATCTTCACTATTAACTAGCTCCCTTTTCCCAGTGTTAAAAGTTTTCCCCTTCTCCCTATACCAACAATTGTAATGCATAGGAACAGGGATATCCCCTTGAACAAACCCATGAATAGCAGCTGTCCTAATCAAATGCACATCCATCTTAGACACTTCAACTTTCCATTTCCAATAACACCACCCACCACACCAAACGAGAAGCTGCCTATCTTTGCTTACTCTTTTTGGAACAAATGCACCTCCAACTCTAAGACAAATGTCAACCTTGCCATCATTGTCCCCCATTATCTACCCACCAGTCAAAAAGGAAAACATATATTAAAACCCATTCAATAATTGAACATTATATGATAACATGCGCAATGACACTAAGAGAATAAACAAATCTACCCTAATTATCTAACTTGCAGTGCAAAGGCAGCAATTCCAACATTTTTGCATAAACAATTCAAACTCAATTCAAGTACTCCATGAATTAATTAAGAATAAACCACTGTAAATAACCTCTAATCTCAATTAAATAATTCAATTACCCTAATTCGCAAAGTCAATTAAATAATTAACCTAATTTGCATAGTCAATTGAATTGTCAAGGGTTTCATGCTCTTCTACCAAAAGTAACCTAATTCAGCATATAATTGCAATTTTGACATCAACCAGCACCACAATCAAAGATGATAAAAAAAAAATACCTTCTTTGGAATCTTCCGACTGTCTTTGTAAGATCTCCAACAACGTTTGCCCCTTTTTGCTTGATGAAGATGACGAACACCTGCTGAGTTGTTCTTCTGCAATGTTGACACCTAGCTTTGGTCCTCAACCACACAAAATTAGGTTTAAATTTTGCCCTTTGAATATTTGTTTGATTTGATGAAGATTCAGAGAGAATTGAATGAAGAAGTTGGGTGAGTATTCAATGAAGGAAGAACATTCGTATTCTGTTAGGTGAAAATTGGAGGTAAAACCAAATGCTGGGGCCCATAGACTTTTGTCGTCACGGAATCCGTTATCTAGTGGTAACTTCCAATTTAAATTTTTTTAAGAGGTGTTAAAATAATTTTTTTTTTTGGAGGTGTTAATATCAATTTTTCTGTTTTTATCAGGTGTTAAAATCTAAAAAAACCTTAAAGTTATTATATATAGTAATGAAGACACATATGATACAACAAATGAAGCTTGTCATATTAGGTAGGTAGTGTCCCAAGGAGCCTGGGTTCAAATCCCATCACTCACTTGTTTTTTTGATAAAGACTTAAGCTACAAATAAACTTAATGACAGAAAATCTGCATCATATTTTGAGAATTGAGATTCTACTCTTGTTTTTATCATTGTTCAGACTTTAGAAGCAAATCAAACAAAAAATACGATTCAACTAAAGTATTTTTGTAACAATAAAATACTAGTACATTTTTTTTCCCATCAACCTGTTGTTTAACAAGTCCGGCCCCCAAGACTTGAAAATCCTGGCTTCGCCCCTAACGATGAGGGTAATAGTTACCCACCCTCCCTCTAGTGTAACTATTACCCCCAAAATGAGAGAATTGATTCTTCTTTCTTTACTTCATACCACACCATCACTACATAATTTTCCTTACTTTAACACCATCACTATTTCTGTGAGAATATTACCTTCATCAGTTTCTTTTTTTCTTTTTTTTTTTCTTTCTTGAAAATCATTAAAAACATTTGTATTAGGTGGTTATTTTTCATCAACTTAAATTTAAGTTGATGCTTGAGTGTACATGATATTTGGGCAAAATTATTTAAGATGTATGATTTTGATCTAGCTAGTTAAATTTAACCAATACTTGAGTTTGTATGATATTTGTGTATTTTGCTAAGAACAATTTTGTATTTGGATATATTTTGTTATTTTGAACTTTTTTTTGTCAGAAATATGAACATATGATACGTTTCTTATAAATAAATATTTTATTGATTTATATTTCGGAACTTGAAAATCTTAATTATAATTTGACATGTGATATGTTTCTTATGAAAATTTATTTATTTTGTAAATCTATGTATTGTTAATCATTTTACAAAATTTAGAATTATGTACAATATAAATTACAAAAAAAATTGTCCATAATAACACCACCTTTGGGCAATCTTCCAATAATAACACGACCTTTTGATTATTCCAAAATAACACCAATTTTCCCTTGCATTTGCCAAAAGTGGTACAAAAACGGTTGGTAACTACATGAGACACGTGTCACAATCTCATTGGTTAATTTTTTAAAAAATATTTTAAAAAATAAAAGAAAAACATAAAAAAATTAAAACAAACCTTAAATTTTTTTTTTTTTTAAAAAAACCAAAACCAGCCCCCTCCTCCACAGCCCAACCCCCTAATTCACCGAAAAACACCAGCCTCCCAACCCAGCCCTTTTTTGCCCATGGCCAGCCCCCAGTTCACCGAAAAACACCACCCTCTCTATCTCAATATTCGGTGCATGACCCTCCCTTCCCTTCCTCATTTTCGACCACCTACTACCTTTCTCCTTCCCAAAAACCACCTCCTCAAAAGCCTAACCAATCGAAATTACCTTTATTTAGAGGAGAGAGGCTCGAAATCGGGGTAGATAAAAAGAGGGGGTTCGAAATTTGCTAAGGGAAAGGGAGGGAGACTGGTATCGGGAACAATGAAGAGAGGGGGCTGAAATCGGGAAAGAGGAATGGAGGGGGGGCGGGGCTGGAAAGGGGTCGAGAAGGGGAGGGGGTGCCATAAAAGGGGTCGGGAAAGGGAGGGGGTGCCAAAAAGGGGGTTGGGAAAGGGAGGGGGTGTCGGAAAAGGGGTCGGGTAGGAGAGGGGGTGCCAGAAACTGGGAAAGGGTCCGGGGATAGGGTGGTTTCAGGTGGGAAGTTTTGGTGTGGGAAGGTGGATGCCGGTGAAAACGGGTGGGCAGGAGAGCTGAGATGTGGGAAGGGGGGTTTATTTGATTTTTATTTTCTAGTTTTTTTTTTTAAAAAAAAAAATTATTAGGTTTTTAAGGGTTTATTTTTATCAAAAAAAAAATGAGCAATCAGACTGGGACACATGTTCCAAGGTTACCTGTAAAACAAGTTACTGATTTTTTGTTTCATTTTTGGCAAATGCATGTGAAAGGTGGTGTTATTTTAAAAAATCAAAAGGTTGTGCTATTATTAGAAGACCACTCAAATATGGTGTTATTCTGAGCAAATTTTCCTATATATTATATATCTAAACATTTGATGTTTTGCATACGTAAAATTATTTTGTTTCGCTTATTTATATATTTCTAAATTTCTATAAGTTTTGTAATTATGAACATATTGTATTAGATATCTAAACTTGTTGAATAGATTTTGTCTACCTTGCATACTAAATTATTAATCTTATTGGTTGAATTGGCACAAAAATATATATACAGGAGCCATATTTCTAAATTCTAATCACTCCAAAAACCCAATGGATCATTTGTGTGCACTAGCTCCATCCAAAATTTTCAAAATCTAATTATTAATGTACTAACACTACAAGAATTAGGTGGGTTTTCAATGGATTGGTTCCGACAGACACGTAATTCCGTCGAAAAAACCAAAATTTTCGACAAATTTATTAATTGTCGGATATTTCCGACGAATTCAAAAAATCCACTAGAAAAAAATTTCGTCGGAAAATATGTACATTCCGATGGAATTTATATTCGTCGAAAACTTCCGACGGAATTTCTGTCAGAATATTTTTTTTTTAAAAAAAAAATAAAAACACTGAAACCCTAAACAGCCAACCCCCCCCCCTTTCATTTCCGCTGATTTTTTCTCCTACTCCTTCACATTTTCATTCTATCTCCTCTTATTTTCTTCAGATCTTCCCCTTTTCTCTCCTCTTATTTTCTTCAGATCTTCCCCCTTTCTCTCCTCTATTCTTCTAAATCTTGTCCTTCTCTTTCTCTCTCATCTCCACCCCCCTTCCCTCCTCTATCTTTGTCGGTCTTCTTCTCCTTCTCCCTCCTCTTTCTCTTGTCTTCTTCCTTTTCCTCCTTTTCCTTCTTTTCCTTCTTTCCCTCTGTCCTCCTCCTTCTTCTCCCCCCCCTCTCTCTCTCTCTCTCTTCGTCCTGAATCACCAACATCAACCGCCTACGAAAACCATGACCACGTATGTTGTTTGTTGTGTCCACAACTCTAGATTGATCTAATTAAACTACAACAAAACAAATTAATGGTTTTTTTAGGTCAAATTCGACCATGAAAACTCTAGATATGGGGTTTTCATGGTCGAATTTGACCATATAAACCAAAAGTTGAAGATTTCATAAGGTATTTACCCTTTTCTTACAATTTATTATATATATTTTTTATTATTTTTTTGGTAATGTTGGTCTTATGTAGGGGTAGTGGTGCTGGTGGTGCATGTGGCTGCTACGTGTACGTGTTGTGGGTGGCACTGGGTTTGTGGCATCTGTGGGCTTAGGCGGGTTTAGGGTTAGGGTGGGGAGAATGGTGGGGATGGTTTAGATATGGTTTAGTAGTGTTAGTTTAAGGAGAGTGGCGTGGTCTTAGGTAAGGGTTAGTCGGTGGTGGTGCGGCGTGTTTTTTTTTTTTAATTGATTGAAGCATTTTCCGACGAAATTTCCGTTGGAAATTTGCAATGGAATTTTCCGGGACCGGAAAATATCTTCCGACGACGGAATTTTGTCGTTTTTCTTACAAAATGTTTCCCGATAACCGCTTCCGATGGAAATTCCGTTGGAAACGGGTTTTTCGACAGAATTCAAGGTGTTTCCGACAAAATTTTTTTGTCAAAATTTCCATTAAAAATAACCTTTTTTCTATTAATGTAGTAAACAAAAACTTATATAAATACCACTTAAATTCTATTAAATAATGAAATATATATAAACTTTCAGGATGTCTAGTCTAATTATCTTTTTAACGAGTTTTAATTTGATTGCTAAAAAAATTAAATTCATATCCTATCTCCATTTCAATTTATTTGTAACAATTAGCTTAAAAGGTTACTATATATTATTTAGGGCAAAATTTTTCTTTGCTTTTACACTTATGGAAAAATACATATTAATAATCCCAACTATTGTCGATTTACTTCTAATAATCTCAGCTAAGGTTCATTTTTTTAATAAACCTAATTATGTCCTAAGTTTGCCTCCAATGGTCTCAATCAGTCAACTCCAAGTCATTAACTTATTGTAATAGGTAACCAATACACGTGTCAACACGTGATTAGTCAAATTTTAAAAAAAAAACTGTAAACCATAACAATCACCACCACCTCCCCGTACGCCACAACAAAACACGCAGGGTTAACCCCAAGCTCGTCGAAAAACAAATGACCATCTTCCTAAACCCTCATAAATGGTCGGTCGGCCTCTCCTAACCCCAAAAACCTTCATAGTCGGCACATTCCCACCCCAAAACCACATAATTCAACCGTCGAAAACTCCTACCCCAAACCACTGAATTTGACTATAAAAAATAACCTTCTCACCATTGAAGACGAGTGACCTCCTTTCCCTAACCCCCAAATTCTCGGCACCCTGGGCGGTTTTGAGGGTTTAAGAAGGGAGAAGGACTGACACTGAATTTTTTCGATGGGGGGGGGGCGAAGGAAAGAGTGGTTTAGGGGGTTGAGTTCAGTGAATCGGCTGTGTGTTTTTTGGGGGTGAGGAGGGCCGATCAACCATTTTCGGAGGGTTAGGGAGGTGGCCTGCCGGTGGCCGATTGTCTGTGTAGGTTAGCTGGGATTTCACAGTTGGACGTGTGGGTTGGGTTGGCTAGATCAGTTTTCAATATTTTTTAATTTTTTAATATTTAGGCCAATCATGTGGTAACATATGGTGTTACAAAAAACCCTTTCAATAGGTAACCGGTTTTTAGGACCATTGGAGCAAACTCAGAGGTATAGTTACGATTATTAAAAAAATAATTTTAGTTGGGATTATTAGAAGTAGATCGGCAATAGTTGGGATTATTAAAGTGTATTTTTCATATGCTTTTTATGTCTTTTTATTTCTCTTTTCATCATATTCAACTTTATTTTCTCCACCACTCACAAATAAGATTTACCTAAATTTTAGTGAATTTCACATCATTGCAAATAATAAACAGAGGCAGTGCTCGTATGTGTATACTCTAGTGTTTTTTTTCTTAATTTTGTCATTGCTTATGTTGAAACACCACTGTTGTCTATTTATGAATTGTCCCGTATATATATATATATGAATTGTCCCGTATATATATATATATATATATACACAATGGAGAAAGATGAGAGAAAGCACAACCTTATAACACTACAAGATAAGCTATTTTGCGACATCCAAATTTGTTGCAACAAATAGCAAAAACTGTCACAAAAAATAGTTGCAACAGTCAACTATCGTAAACTGTTTGTTACAGTCAGAATTGTTGTAAAATTTTTATTTTTGCAACAGTTTGACTGTCGTAAGAATTTTTACGACAGCTTTGCTAATTTCAACGATAGTTTTTTATTTTGTCGCTGTAATTATTTTACAGCAGTTTAAAACCGTCGTAAGTTATGAGAGAAAACAAAATCGTCGTAAGATGGTATTACCGACGGTTGGCCGTCACAAAAAAAAGCCCTTCCTCTGTCCCACTCTTACTTAGGCTTCCCTGCCCCCAATTCCCTCAACAGCCTTTCGCACCAGTGCACCACCATTATATCCCCCTTCCCACCACCACCTTACACAAAGATACAATATGCATCAAATCATCAAAAACCTACAAAAAATTAAAAAAACAGAGATTCACGAGACTGTACAAAATTCGAATAAACAAGCCACAAATCACAATAAATCAAAAGAAAATAAGCGAAATATAACAAATTAAACAAAAATAAACTAAATATAACATATTCAAACGAAAATAAAATGAAAATCAAATGAAAATAAAGAAACAAATGAACAACAAAAAAAAGGCAATACAAGCACAAAATAATGAATTTAGACCAAAGAATATCAGAATATAAACAAAAACCACATTAACAAAAACAAAAAATACAAAAAATTAAACATACCTTCGAAAATTTCATCTTTTTTCGGTGTTGATTGTCAAATTCGACCATAAAATCTCCAGATTTGGAATTTTTATCGTCAAATTTGACAAAAAAAACCCTCAACGTCACGAAATTGATCGAACCTCAAATACACAAATTTCAATTTGTGTAGCCACCTTCGCCATTTTTTTTTAACACAAGAAAGGAGGACGAGAAAGAGTGGAAAGAAGGAGGATAAGAACGAAACAAAGAGGGGATTGGAAAAGAGAGGAAAGAGAAAAGAAGAAGAGGGGAGATGATTTGAGAAAGAGAAAAGAGAAACTAAGAAAAGGTGGAGAAGAGGAGAGCGAATCAGAGAAAAAGAGAGGAGAGGAGAGAGAAAATGAGAAGGGAAATAGAGAGGAGAGAAAATGAAACGGCGGAAGAGTATTAGGGTTGGTGTGGGCTTGTTGAAGTGGGTTTTAAATACCATTATTTAAAAAAAAAATCAACTCTAAGACAGCCATTAGCTATTGCAAATTGTGACAGTTTTGAAAACTGTCGTAAGTTGTGACAGTTTATATCTATCGTAACTATTAATTTTTTTTTATATTTATTTTTATTTTTTTTTACTTTTACCCCCCAAAAAAATAACGAAATTGTTTTTAACGACCAAAAATTTTAAAAGTTTTATTTCACCACTAAAAGAGTTTCTAAAAATTGTTTTTTACCACCTAACGTCAAGAAAACCGTTAAATTTAATGGTGAATTTTTTTTTTTTCGATTTTTGTGCGCATATAGGTTTAGATGAGGCATTTTGGACCTACGGGTCCAATATGAAGACAGAATTGACAAAATGATCGAAAATGCCTCGTTTTGCGTGGTTCACGTAAACCGAGGTGTTTTTAAACACTCAAAAGGAAGCATTTAAGATCATTCTTTGTCAATTCTGACCTCAAATTGGATTCGAAGGGCCAAAATGTCCCCAAAACCCCTAAAGATGATGTGTTTCGCACAAAAATCAAATAATTTAAAATATTCTGTTAGATTTTTCACGACAGGTGGTAAAAAACAATTTTTAATTTTTTTGGTGGTAAAATAAAAACTTTTAAAATTTTTGGTAGTAGAAAACAATTTTATGATTTTTTTGGTGGTAAAAGTAAAAAAATTCCTTATTTTTAGTATCTATTGCAACATTTTTTTGGCCGAAAACTGTCATAACTCAGCAATAGTTTAAAAAACAGTCATAATGTTATGACAGTTACAAAAACCATTGTAGAATTAAAATATTACAACAGTTTTTCTAGTTGTCGTAGAAAAACTATCGTTATTTGCCCGAATTCCAATAGTGAAAGATTAATGAAAAGACTAATCTATCTATGCTTAGTATTTAAAAAAAACAAACCACAATCACTAACATGCTACATGTCACCACAAGTCAGTTACATGCCACATGTTACCTCCCTTAATATTTACTTTTTGTATTCCCTTTTTAATAAAATTATATTTAAACAAAAAATTTAATGTTAAAATCTTTATGCATTCCATAATTTGTAAATTTAAGTAAGAAAATGAAGTGTTCTATTTTTACCATAATAAAATAAAGTAATAATCTTTTATCTCCTAAACTTAAAATAAAATAAAAGTAAAAAAGATAAAGTCAATATTATACACTAAAAGACACACCAGCAATAACACGTATCATCTCCTGATGTATCTTTAATTATTATTATTATTTTATATAAAAAAAGTCTATTAATTAAGGAAGCAAATCAATTTCAAAAAATAATATTATTTATGGTACACATTCCATATTAATGTAGTATATATAAAGTAAAAAGATTTCACAAATAATTTTTCTAAAACAAAAAATTGGACAACTATAACCAAAAATTATATTCTTAAAAATATTTTGTGATCTGTTTTACAACAAAAAAAAAATATTGTTTGGATTTTTTGCCTGTTTTATTTTTAACTGTGTATTAGAAGCTACAATTAAAATTTAACGTATCACATACTTTTATTATTCCTCGTCTAATTTATAATTATAATATTTATCTATTAATAATCTATAACGATCACCGTGCATGGCATATATATATATCAATAACTTATACTAAAGGCGAAACCAGGAATGACACTTGTCATTTCCTGGTTAAAAAATTTCCCACTTTTTTTTCCCTTTTCTTTTTAATTTTTTTGCCATATTTTAATGACATCTATATATTTTATAACCTATAATAATAGTCATTTTCATTTTGACAACATATTTAATCCAATATTACTCAATTAAATTTTTTACATATATTCTATATATACTAGGAAACTTTTAATTACAAAAATACTAAGATAGATTAAAAAAAAAGGTATTGGAATATATTGTTTTCCAAGATTATTATAATATTATCAATATCAATTTTAAAGAAAAATCATTTTGGTAGCATACTTTGTACAGAGTATTAATCTTAAAACTATACATAACGTTTATAAGAACAAAATAATTTTGTTATAGTATACTTCGTACATAACATATATTATAAAATTAAATCTAATTGTTCTAAACATTTACGTGATTATTTTATTTAAAAAAAAACCTACTACTCACTAAAAATATATTTAAAAAGTTGATTAAGGAATACTAATTATCCTAAAGTAAAATGAACTCAAATAAATTTTCATATTATGCCGATCAAAGTGTGTCAAAAATTTATGGACAAATGTATATGACTTCGTATATGGGTACTAACCTAATTACCTAAGCTAATAATTTAATTTTCTTATATAAAACGTTATATCTTCTAAGTTTCTATTACTATAGATTTTTTTTATACAATTCAATTCAATAATCTTTACATTTAATTTAAGTTATTTTGTTACAAATAAATTTTCTGGATAAATTATTGTTGAATTTGATTAGGGGATTTTGCTCCCACCAATCGGAATGCGCCACGTGGACCAATCAGGTCCTGCCAAGTGTCCCCCAGTTGGAACAACCATGGCTTCCCACGTGGCACGCGCTTATTCGTCCACCTTGGACCTGTTATGTCAAGACATGTGGCATACTCCATGCCTAATGGAGAAACCGGCCACCCAGGCCCAACTTCCGAGGGAAGCCCAATCGGCCCTAGGTTAACCTAAACCTAGGATGGACACGTTTTCCAAGGTTATAAATACCTCCCTTAATCCTCATTAAGAGAGATAACAAAAAAGGATGACAGAAAAAGAACACAGAAACATTACGGAAGAAACACATTAATTACACACAGTAATAACCGGCTGATCTCGCTAACAAAGCAGATTACCTACATTAAACACTCTCACCTAGAGAGACCTAATCACTTTAATTTCCGCATTAATTACTCCTTAATCAAGTACTAACTTGACCGTTGGAGGCGGAGCTCCCAGGAGTCTCCGTTATTTTGCAGGTACAGGCGTCCGGTTCCAGTCTCGGAATTGTAACTCTCCCGCAGGACATCAGAAAACCCCGAAACATTTGGCGCCGTCTGTGGGGAGAGTACTTCTGAGATGGCATCCAAGTCTGTACCGACTCCTGAAAAGAGGCGTCCCCTAGACGACCCTCAAGTTCAGTCGGACCATGATACCGAAAGTGAATTCGAAGTTGAAGCTCATACAGCTTCAGACGGGACCCTAAGGGCCCGACGTACCCGTCATACCGAAAGGAGGGAACGGGAGCATCTTCAAACAGGAAGCGAGCCAGCAGGCGCACCGCCTGTTCGGCAACAGCCGACTGATGGGTCTGCTCCCATCACAAGGAACGAACTCATGACCTTCATGAGGGACTTCAAGGGAGAGATTCAAGAGTTGATCAACAAGAAGCCGCCTGCTCCAGTCAAGGAGCAGTCGACCAAGAAACCCTCCACTTCACTGAAGAGGAAGCCAGTTCAAGGGCGAGAGGCGACTCCTCATCCTAAATCTAGGAAGCGGGAGCCACCTGCCCTTGATTTCACAAAATTCCGTTATCCTACAGGAAATAGGAAACCTGTTCGTCATATTCAGGCGGACGGGTCGAAGCAAACATTCACAGATGCTCGGCTACTGCTAGAGCAGAAGAAGAGTGACCGATTGTCAGAGTCGGCCTCTACTTCAAACTTTCAAGACAGTTTGCGAAATGCCTCGATGAGGCATACTCAGTCGTATCATGAGAGTTAGTCAGGCGGCACCTCCCGTCAGTCCGGCTTTCATAGCGACCAGGCGGTACCAAACTTACCATTTGTGCCGCAACAACAGTATTTTTTGCAGCCACCTCCGTTTGGTGGACCTGCAGCAAAAAACGTCCAACCTATGGACTGGCAGCTACGGTTGCTTAGACTTGGTGAACAGCCGTCGGCCTTCTCCAAGGAAATTACTGAAGCCGCTCAGCCGGCCAAAGTGAAAAATGTACTAGTAGGCGCCTATGACGGCACTACTAACTCAGAAGACCATCTGATGACATTCACCAACCTGATGTACCTTCAAGGGTTGGATGATCCCACTTGGTGCAAGTGTTTCCCAGCGACTCTCGAAGGAATCGCACAGCAATGGTTCGGCAACCTGTCGACTGGTTGTGTAAATAGCTACAGGACGCTTGCTTATTTATTTGCCTCCAACTTCGCCATGAACATCCCTGCGAAGAAAACGACCCTTGATTTGGGAACAATTCAGCAGGGCGAGAAGGAGGGGCTTCGTTCTTACATCAGGCGGTTTAACCTGATGAGAATACAGATTCAAGGGTTACCGGATGAGGTAGCTTATACTGACTTTTTCAGAGGTCTCAAAGACGGGTCTACCTTCAAATTTGATTTGGTTCGAAAAAGGGTGGCGACTCTTCAAGAGGCCTTGATTGAAGCAGAAGCCTATATACAGGCGACTGATCTTTGTACGATAAAACAGTCGGACGGGAAAAGGTTCGACAAAAGAGAAGGACGACAGAAACAGTCGTCAAACAAAGATGAGAAAAGAAAAGAGGTTTGGGCGGCTGATTCCTCTAAACAGCCGGCCCAGAAAAAGAAAAAAGAATTCAAACCATTCTCCCCAAAGTATGCGTTTAACAAGGATAACCAGTTAATCCTAAAAGAAATCAAGGGACGGATCTCAATTGAGAAGCCGGTCCCCATGAAGGGTTCTGCAAACAACCGGAACCAAGATAAATTATGTGCTTATCATGATGATGTTGGTCATCACACCAATGACTGCATCAGTCTCATGCGGTACCTAGACCGCCTGGCTGAGCAAGGTGATCATGACACTTATGTCAAGAAATCTACGGGGAACACTTCCTCAAAAAAGCAGTCGGCCAAAAAGAATCAGCAGGCCGACA